GAGAGACACGGAAACAGAGAGACGGAGAGACAGGGACACGGAGAGACGGAGAGACAGGGACACGGAGAGAGAGAGACAGACAGAGACACAAAGAATAATGTGACGGTCATTGCAGGTTTGGGAACCGAATCTTCGGGCCGATCTGGAACAGGGACAGCTTGGCCTGTGTTGTTCTCACCTTTAAAGAGCCGTTTGGGACTCAGGGACGAGGAGGCTACTTTGATGATTTTGGCATCATCCGGTGAGTGGAGAGAGAAATAAATCCCTAAAGTTTGTCTTTGAACTTCAATATTAAAGTTGAATGCTTAAAGTTCCGTTTAGTATTTATAAATTAGGAATCTTACCTCCTTTTTAAAGTCATCTACAAATAATATAGCATGTTGATAAGAGTATTACATACTTGACTAATCTCCCTTTAAGGTACATTTCGATCAGATAAAAATGATAAACTATGGACAATCATTCATTTAAATCCATTGATAACCCTAATTATGAATGTTTATGCTTATAACTATTATTATACAAGGCAATAAGCAGAGTATAATGCATAAGTATAGTTTATAACGCATTATAGACATGGGCGTCATAGAAAGTGTTGATTTAACCAGTTTTAACACATCGGTTATCATTTTATGACGATGATCACAGCGATCTCCTCTCCGTCTTTTGTGTGACCACCTGTTTGTTCCCTTTGCCCCCCCGATCAGTGATGTCATGCAGAACCACTTGCTCCAGATGCTCTGCCTGGTGGCCATGGAGAAACCAGCTTCCACCAGCTCTGATGATGTCAGGGATGAAAAGGTACAAAATCGTCTCTCAACGCCCCCTCAAACACTACTGCAAATATGGAGAGATATGTTACGATTCCTGTTTCTCTTGTGTTCCTTCTCGTAGGTGAAGGTGCTGAAGTGCATCGCTCCGGTGGCCATATCTGATGTGGTGCTGGGTCAGTATGTGGGGAATCCAGAGGGGGAGGGAGATGCCAAACTGGGTTATCTCGATGATCCTACAGTTCCTAAAGGATCCACTCAGGCCACCTTCACCACTGCTGTACTTTATGTGCACAACGAACGCTGGGATGGTAAACACACCGTGGCCTTTTTAAAAAAACAAAACAAATCCCACTGATGTCTCCCGTGCTCTTTCATGAGGCTTCGGCGTTGTGTTTCGCTCCTCAGGTGTTCCTTTCATCCTTCGCTGTGGAAAAGCGCTGAATGAGAGGAAAGCTGAGGTGCGGCTGCAGTTCACAGATGTCCCAGGGGACATTTTTGGAAATCGGTGTCGCAGGAATGAGCTCGTGGTGCGTGTGCAGCCCAACGAGGCGGTCTACGCCAAGATGATGAGCAAGAAGCCTGGTGTCTACTTCAGCCCTGAGGAAACTGAGCTGGACCTCACCTACAAGAGTAGATACAAGGCATGTTCAAGTTGATTTGTTTATGCAAAGAGCAAGTGATTTATATAGCGAATACAAAGAAAGTAGCTGTCTGTATCACGTCTCTAATTTCTTAACCGAATGTTTTTTTAATTAAGAAAGAAACGATTTAAAATGTGTGTCTTGTTTCCAGGACGTGAAGCTTCCAGACGCTTACGAGCGTCTCATCCTGGACGTCTTCTGTGGGAGTCAGATGCACTTTGTGCGCAGGTGTGTCTTTGTTTTTCACTAGTGTTGTCATGTTACTACTTGTAAACTAAACCTACCAGTTCTTTGCACTAGATGGCGACATAGTGCATCTTTTCTCTGCCTCAGCAAGAAGGGAAACTGTTGTTAAAACCTTACATACAGCTATGATGTAATGTCCTCCACCGCATGCTGACTTCTTTGTCTTTGCAGTGATGAACTAAGGGAAGCATGGAGGATCTTCACACCTCTTCTTCATCACATAGACAGAGAGAAGCCCAAACCTATTTCTTACAAATATGGAAGGTAGGAAATGTTGTTCAGTATTCCTTCAATTGGAAAATGGTGTTGAATACAGAGTGTTGATTGTGATTGTTTCACTTTCTTTTGTCAGTCGGGGCCCAACAGAAGCAGACGACCTGGCAAAGAAAGTTGGATTTCGCTATGAAGGCACTTACAAATGGGTCAACCCTCACAGGTTGTGAATTGTGATGAGGGAGGAGTAGAGGTAGGATAGCAGGAGGGGGTGAGTGAGCCGTGTCATGTTTCACTGCTGGAGTGTCTTTTTGGGGAAAGAGGAGTTTCCACTATGTGGATCCATCGCTGTAGTAGAAACAAGCTATCATTTCTCAGGGATGGCAATTATTCCTTGGAACCAGTTCATCAGACATTCAAAAGATAGTGATCTATTTATGCCGTCATCATGGGTTATACTGCACTTCTTCATACATTCACAGCAACTTTCCATGTTATATTTGAGAGGTGGGACCAATTCAGTTGGAGAGGGAACAAAAGAAATCAGTGAACTAAAAAACAAAGTTGAACAAACATGTCTGAACTAGCTCCATGTCTAGATATCAATAGCAGAGCAACAACAAAACACTCAGCAGAGTCATGCTCAGTCATCTTAAGCGGTGTACCAAAGACGGTAACTGAACACAGCGGAGACGAGGAACAAGACGGATTGTTCACCAGCTGTCACTCTTAATAACATTGTGATTGTAATACCGCTATGCTTTGACTGCAGTTATTAATCACTTAGTGGAATTTATTTTTACACCTTGTGTACTCTTTCTGCCTCTTTAAGCTAGATAGACAATGTGGTTTAAAAAGGGCAATGCGGGCACTTTTCTCTTCACAGCATTCATACTGGAATAGTCTTAAGAGTCCTGATGGACAAACCAAACGAGCTCTCTGTCTTGTTTAGTAGCCTTCTTCTGAGTGTCATTCCCTTTCTGTTTACATGTTTTTTAGGTTCATTTAAGCTGCTGATGTTTATTCCATATTTCAAAAATATTCAGACGGCAGCGGTGTCTACTACAGGTCAACAGTGAATGTCTATGTAATGACGTACTGGATACTGCTGTTAGGTGCACAATGTACAGCTAGCTACATTTCCACTACTTGTAATAAATAAACTAGCTTTAGCTTCTCTGTAAATGGGTTCCATGCGCTCTGGTTTTTATTGCTTTAAGCACAATGTGTTGTACCTTTCATTTTTACAAAGTTAACTGAGTCATGTCATGGAGATGAGCCGTCGCTGCTGATGCTGGTGTCTGAGTGTTCTCCGGTGAAACCCATGAGGGGCTCAGGCCAAATAGGTTGAGCGGAAGAGTCTGGAGGCAGCATTACGCACTGGCTTGCAGCCGTGCACTGCCGGAGAGGAGGTGCGTAGTGGCGCTGAGATATCAGACTCAAAATGCCGTTTGGGGTGAAAGTTTAACTTAAAATGTCATTTAAAGTCAGTATTTCATAAAAATATGAAGAGATTAGTATAGTATGTCTTAAATGTCAAAGCCATAAAAAGTATAATACACCATACAAATGTCATTGTATAGTATTGTACTATAAACATGTTCAAAAAAGTCTAAGCATAGTATATAATAAAAAGGTCATTGTACTCATAGTAAGATGTCAGTCATTAAACTTCATAGTGTATCACAAAAAAGTCAAAGTCCATCATGCTATAAAGTCCTAGTACAACACGTTAGAAAAATTCAGTCATAAAAAGGCAAATATTTTCAAATAAGCCTTCCACAATTTTAACATTTTCTAAATAAGAGATGAAAGCTTTTGTTAAAACTATTGACATGAAGCTGAGCTAGTACTGTCAAATGACCACTTCACTTGTATTCTCCTGCCACTACGATAGTTTTTTTAGAGAATCAGTTTGTTCTTTGCTTTTTTTAAATGTAAAAGTTAACAGAATATTCTGGCAGTATTTCTTCCAACTAAGATTCCCGCTGCAGTGATTTGTAGTTTGAGATAAATGTGAGGGAGTGAAAAAGGATTCAAGCGATGATTTGAATTTGATTAGAATTAGTTTATTTACAGACAAAAGTTGATATAATTACCAACACACATGAGCCGCAAATGAATGAAAATCAGGCAGGGTCACAAAAACAAATGGAATATTGGACGTTAAGTAGTTAAGTCTTTGGTTTGGACCCAAAAAAATCAATGGCCAAAAATACACAACCGTGCATTCTAAGGCACTGTCAGTTTTTTATGTTAAAAACAGTTGTGCGATTGACAGTATGTTAATACAGTACAAGACAGGAAACAGTGAATTATGTAAGACACTTTTAGAGCAAGCAAGGACATAATTATCTGAGGTATTACATGATTAATAACTTGATGGACAGGCTTTCACTGGACGGCAACAATAACGTTAGACAATAACGCCTCACAGAAGGACTTTGCCCAACAGGTCTTTGTCCAAATCTGAATGCATGATGTGGTGCCATATGAACATCGTACAAACATGGTACTGAATGAATGGCAGTCAAATATTTTTAGAAAAATATTGTATTATGATGAATTTGATGTCCAGAGATATTCATTGGTGTTTTCAATTGGGTTGCTTTCTAAAAAACAAACTAAAAAACTCAGGCAAAAAGTGCTGTCTGTCAATCACAAGGGAAAAGAACCCCGTCATCAATTACCCCTCAAGTCATCATGCACGTGTCAGGAAATGAACGAAAAACAAACTGAGCGGTAAAACTACAGCTGAACATGCACAAATGTTACGCAACCTCTTTTAATAAGTGAACATTGCACTCGCTGGCTGGAGCCGCTCGGTTGCACAACAGCTGTGGAGTGACTGGTCCCCCGTCTATTTCTGACTGGTAACAGGTGAGAAAAGGTTAATGCTCTCCAGTTAAAAAGGCACTTGGTCAGTTTGTTGTTGTTTTTACATGTGCTCTGGGTGGTTCTGCAAACAGCTTATGAACTCTGTGACTGGATGGCCCTGAAAGCAGATCTGATACACTGCATTGAACAGAGGGAACCTGGGAGGAAGGAGGACGCATTGTTGAGTGCATAAATACAGCTGGAATGATGTCTGATGAGATCCGGTGTGTCGTGTCGCTGCTTAACTTACTTGTCAATGAGGTTTTTGTGCTCGAGGATGAGATAGACCTCAGCTGCTGTTGCTGGTCCCTGCAGCTTCTGGCCGTTCAGCATCTCCTTCTCCAGCTCCTCGATGGACTGAGAAGAAACATGAAGGGTGGACTCGTGTTCAGTGGAAAAGGAGACACGGTCCACACACGAGCTTTTACAAGCTTCCTCAGCTTACGTACCTCTGGACCAAAAACATTTCAGCAAGTAGCGGACTGTAAATGACCTTTTAGTACGGTACAGTGGGCTTGAATCATTTCATAATTACTTTCTATAAACGGCGAGATATTTGTCCTTTTCATTATTATATTAATGTTGAAGATTGTATTTAGAAAGTTATGCTGGTAGGAAGAGAAAAAAAAAGCACAAAACTGCAGTGTCTTCACAGTAAAAGTATTTAAAACAGCGGAATAATAATGCCACCAGTGTTGAGTATTCTGTTTCATGTTGTAGTTAATATTAAGTAACAATGTATTTTTATAGTATTTTCTGAGTTATGTGTATGTAAGATAGCCATATTGCTGTATCAGCCTTATTAACTGCTATTTGGATTTGCTCGTCTCAAAATATACTTTACAATTTACAGAAACTTCAGTATATCAAAATATGAAACATGTTTAAACAAAGTGGGTTAAAGGTGCATTAACATGTGATTTTAAACACCTTTCTTAAGCTCTATTGTGATAAAATGGATTTTATTATCTTTTATTTTATATTTTGAAGTACGTATGCACTCTATTAGAGCTCGTTATCAAGTCGACAAGGTTGTTTTTAATATATATATATATATATCCTTTGTCTTTACTGTTGTGATGGAAGTTAATCGGAAGAAGAGAGTTTTGTTCCCAAATCAATAATGAAGTCTTCAGAAGATTCAAAGTTGTCTTTTTCCGTTTATTCTCTTGCAAGAGGGAAGAAAGCACAACAGTAGTTCAGTAGACTGTGTGAATGCTTCAAAATCTGTATCACACAAGCTCCTTTATTTATACAGCAACAAGTTATTTCTCAAAAGTGCAGCACCCACGAGGGCTTGTCTGCTGCATCCAGCTGACTTTTCACAGCTTCGATACATTCAAGGTAACATGAGGTGTTTCAACCACCAGTTCTGATTACTGCTTAGTCTGCACTTTCTTTACTCCATGTAAGGAACAAGTTGTTCTTGCCACTCTGCAAGTAGTTTTGTTACTTTTCCAGTAGCCATTTTCCTTAATAGATGACACGTGAGTTCACATCGAGGACACAAGGCTCAAATGCATATTTTTACCATTACACTGTCAACCACTTGTGGTCGAATATTAAACCTTTTATTAAAGACATTTAAAGACAGCAGCGTGTTTATTTTAGTTTCCCTTCTTGGCTCGTTGTAGTTTGTCCACAGTGGTCGTGTACCTACAGAAGTGTGTTGTGCTCTTTTACTACTAATTTTAAATATTTATTTTATCTATTTATTCATCAGCTTTGACTGCTGAATCTGACCATTTCTAAAAACCTGTTTTTGACTCTTCTACCCATCAGTCTAAACTTGTACTCAGTTTGCTTTTGTCCTCTTTTGTTTTTGTAGTCTGTCTTTGTCTAACTTTGTCTAAACAATATTAAAAAAAAAAAACTACATTTTCCAAAAAGCGGTAAATGCATTTGGTCTAATCTAAGCGCTCACCTTCCCCGTCTTCACAAAGGCTTCTGCTACTTTGCGGTTGCGGCCGCCGTAGCAGGTTGTGATGAGGTCGGCCACACCGCAGCTCTCCAGGAAGGTTGCAGAGGACACGGGGCCGGCAGTGCAGAAAATGCGGGCGAATGCAATCATCTCCATCAGGCCTAACCGGATCACTGCTGCCTTCGTGTTGTCTCCGAAGCCCAGACCGTCACAGAAACCGGCTCCCACCGCAACGATGTTCTGAAGGACGGACGAGGAGGCAAAGTTGTAATTTTTGGCACAAGAGACGAAGACACTCCTGGATACTTTGGACAAGACGCAGACTATCTGGAGGATCAACATTTAAATACTAAATGGACACTGCTTCCACTTGGCCAAAGTATTTTCAATGTGGCACAATAGTAATTTAGCACGATGACTCAGTGTAAGAACCCCACTTCTGCTGCATGCAGCTGTGTTTCTGTAATAAAAAGCTCACCTTCAGGGCTCCACAGATTTCCACCACATCGTACTCTTCTACCACAGTAACTCGGAAGTTGGTGGTCTGCATGAGTTCCTTCAGGAGAGCCCCGTGGATTTTATTCTTACACCCTGCGAGCAGAAAAAAAAAAAAAAAAAGAACCTGGTTATCTTTTGGCATATCTACAATATGAATTGATGTCACGACCATTTTAAATAGTTATACTTTGATTTCAGACTTTGAAGAGACATGATCAATACTAGACACCTTCTGATCAGTTAGTAAATATGTACTAAATATGTGATCACGTCTGTCAAAGTCAAATGGATTATTATAACCAATTGTCTTTGTTTTTCTTTATTAGTCAGATTACCTCCTAATTTGACATTTGTGTATTTATTACATGAATATTAAGTAGTGAAACAGAGAGCGTTGCTCGCTTGAGGTGAGTCTTTGCTGGCTTTCGTCTGGTTCTGTGTCACTGCAGCTCGGGTGCTGCATACAGATGAACCTTGAAAGGGGGGGGGGCATTGTTCGTCTGCAAGTGCTACCCATGCTGCAGTGGCAGAGTTTCACTTTGGGGGCATTACGTAACCAGGCACCATCAATCCACTTGACAAGGAGCGGCTTCAACTACAGGTGCACGGTCGTTTTGTCGTCATGATTTCAACGAGCACGCAGCTGGAAGTAGACGGGTTACCGTGAAGCAAGAAAAGTAAAATTAAATTAAACTAACATTAGATTTAAAAATGTTTTTCCATAAATTAAGTACGAATAGACCCAAAATGAAGACTATAAGCGGACTATAAGTGAATTATCTTTACAGCATTAGAATAAGAATGATTCTGTCACAAGCTTTTTGATCCATATTAGCGGCTGGTTACTGTAACCGTGATCATTATAAGAGGCTCCCACCGTATCTAACAATGAGCAACAATGTAATTGCTACAGTTATTCAGCCTAGACCTTTCCTCTACTGTGCATTGGAGAAAGACAAGCCGCTCCCTGCGGGACGAGCTCCAAGGAGAGCTCAGCACACTCAGTGTCTGTGTCCTCGTCTCTCAGTCTCTCAGAGCTGCTATAATGCAAAGAGTTAGTGGTTTGCAGGTTCGGATCGGTGGATTAATGCATATTTTTACAGGTTAAACAGTGAGGACTGGCTCTCACATCTATTAATTATACTTGTATGTACTCTTTAAACCACACTTCGTAGTTCATATTACAACATATTTCTCCTGGAATTGTCGCTACACATTACAAACCATTCATCCCAGGATTTTAACTGGAACAGACAAACTTGATTTGTTTGCTCTTTAAGCTTCCCGCTCCATTTATCACTGAGCAAATAACACAGCAATTATATTGTTTTGTATGGAAAGAAAGGAAGTATTGTGCTGCTGTTTTCACTGACTTTCAAAAGCTTTGATCAATATTTACTTATGCAGACACTGTCATTTTTGGGAATGAGGATTTCAGTTGACTAAGATTCTTTGTTTGATTACAGCCCTAACTAAAACACAGTAACTTTGCATCTTTTAGAGGACCGCTGCAATGCTCCAAGGCCTCAAACATTTCACAGCACTGATATAAATATCAGTCCTTTCAAACACTAAAAGCACGCAGTCATGTGGTGCGTACAAATACGGGTAGAAAGCAAATGTCAAACTGAACAAGCCCACTCTGTCATTTACACAGTAGGATTAAAATGACACACTTATGCTGACGACGCAGAAAGATAGAGAACACAAACCACAACAAACATACTTCCTGCTTCAAGACTAAAACCTGCTTATTGTAACTTTAAAAATGTGCATATGTGTCCTAATGAAATAATAAGCGTTTCTTTCAAAACATCCCTAAGCTGAGCAATCAAAAATATGTAGAACAGACTAACCAATGGTGGTCTCACAAAACTTCTCATCAGCAACCTCATTGGCAATGTTGGCCCCCATCAGCACACTCATGTTGATGCCAAGCTTCTCCTGGATCACATCAGAGATGAGTTTAAGTCCATCGGGCCCCTCGTCTACGCCCTGGAGGAACAGAAACACACAAGCCGTGTTTTTACATGAAGCCATACACAGAAGCTGGTATTTGGGTGAAAGATCATACTTCTCAACTGGTTTACGGCTTCAACCTGGAAGTAAACTACGAGTCTGGTATACAACATGAAGTAGCATCGCACCACTATTTAGAGACAAAAAGGTGTAAAATTCAAAGAGCAGAGTCTAACCTTGATGAGAGATATCCCCAGAGCATCAGTCTTTATCTTGTCCTTTAAGGTGTCACACACTTTCCCAACAAACTGATGCGGGATCACAAACACCAAGAAGTCTGCGTCACTGGAGGCCTCCACCAGGTCTGAGACGGCCAGCTGAGGAGGAATCGGAGGGCGATTTTGGAAGAGGTCTGACTCGTACAAATCAAATGTAACCGACATTAAAGTCTGGTGCAACAACCTGCTCTAAGAGAACATTAAGGAAACTGATATCAGAATGGTCAAATGTATAAAAATCTATGATGAGGTGATGATAGAGGAAGCTATTTAAAGCAACAAGAACAAACGCAGATACAAAGCATCATGTCTCTGTACACATAATACCTCATAATAATACATATTATGTTAAATGGTGATAAACCAACAGTTTCTTACCACATTTGCTGGCAGCTTGTGCCCAGGAAGGTACTTGACATTTTCGTGGTCACTGTTGATTATTTCAGTCAGTTTGCGCCCGTTCACCATCTCCTCAAACACCCACATCTTTACGGTGGTGTCAAAATTTGAATTCTGAGCAGCATTGGCACCCACTATCTTGGCAATGGCAGAACCCCTGTATGGTTAATAGTTACAGGTTAGTATTTCATTTACATAAGAAAACAGAAGAGTCCAGAAGAGATCCAACACAGAGTGATTTTGCCTTTTTAAGTCTAGATGTTAATCACTTCTCAGAGTCGATAATAACACGTGACTCCTGACAATCAGGGCCCCTCGTGTGGTTTCTACTGGTTCACTTTGAACGTTGCTGCTCTTTGATCACCAGCAGGATGACCCGGCAGGCAGCACTGAAGATAAGCTGAAATCTGTGTCGACACCGCGCCAAACTGCATTGAGAACTATTCTGATTTTATGTTTTTTTACTCATGATTTTGAGGAATTCTTCTTATAATTTGGGGCCAACACATGAATCTGGCATAAGAACACATAAAGAACTTTAGTTTTTTTTTCAACAATAGCTACAGTCCTGTAGAAACAGAGGTTTTAACTAATCAAATGAATCCGTTTGGTTGATAAATTAAAGCTATATGCCAAATTTACTAGAGAACTTTAACAAAAAAAAAAACAAGTGCTTGATTTTATGTTTTACCTCGGGGACTTTTAAGCCGACAAGGTAACTTGTAATTATAAGACTGTTGAAGGGGCCATCTTCTGTTGGCAATAATGCAAAGACATGACCATTGTAGATTAGATGGTGACTGTAAAGTAACAAACATATTTCTACTGTAGTGCTGCTAAGGAGAAAGCGCTGACATGTTGTATTTCTGTTGCTGACTGTGTGTAAAACTCCATTGAGAACTCCGATTGTATGTTCGTTTACCCAACAGTAATGTTACTATAGTAAGAGACACATTAATTTGGCATAAAAAAACAATACATAAAGCATAAATGAGCTTTAAACTTGATTTATTTCCAAATAATAGACACAATCCTATCAGTGTGTATAAAAACAAGTTTTAACTCAAACAATTAAAGTGTTTGGTTCATGAACTAAAGCTATATGCCGAATTTACCAGAGGACTAAAGTATTCATTCATGGCTTGTTGTTACATTTGTATGATTTTGAAGTAGACAAGGTTGACACTGTTGAACGGGGTTCGGCTTCACAAAGAGAAGACATTGACGGGAGGAACGTGAACCCATGCATATTGCAGCAGAACAACAACACATTCATACTGTAGTGGCGCTTTAAGCAGAGTGGGCTCACGTGTTGTATGTCCGTTGCAGACACATGTCATGATTAACGTTAATCATGACATGTGGTCAGTTTTCTGTCTACTCAGCCGGTTTCCTATGAAAATAATCAATGATATAAAACGGGCAAATGTTGCAGCTAACGTTGATTAAATGCAACACAGTAGTTAATGCAACAACGTATCTCACTGTATCATAAGAAAAGCGGCTGATTGCTAGCTAACGGTAGCTATCTGGCAGGCCGGCTGGGTGCCCAGTGATGCTAAGCGGGCTAGCAACGGTTCACCCGGGTTAAACATGCAACGCATTTTAAAAGTTGGACAACGCATCAACTTGCCAGTTCCCGGAGCCAATGATGCAGATTTTCTTCGGCGCTGACATTGTGTAGCGGTAGAGTTAACCCGATGGATAGCAGGATGAGGGCGCTCTGATTGCCGACACTGTATGCGGCTGTGAACCTGCAGTGGAGTTACGCAACAGCAGCACGCCTGCTTTTCATTGGTTCATCCGAGGGGAGACGATGACCCGCCCTCTAAAGGTCTGGTCACTCATTCATCCAGCTGATTAGAGGTCAGTAGGCTTAAAGTAATGCGGACTAAAGTCCCCATGTGAACAATGGCTACTGCATGAACTATGATACATTGATATAGTCACATTAAACTGCTTAATGTTGTTAAAAGCTGGGACTGCAACACAGTATATTCAGCAGAACATCGTTCTTTGTTATGTTATGCTTAAATAAAACACTGTGGCCTTGACTTGTGTACTACTATGCCTTTCTATTATATGCATTCTTGCTTTTCTCTCTCACAGGAGCTTGTGTTGAGTTGTCACTGTGCAGAACAGAGCCGGCACATTGAGAAGAATTGTTTGGTCTGGGGGACTCTCACACAAAAGGGGAAGTTGTTGCATAAGAGTTGGAGCTAACAGAAGAGTAGGAAGTTACAAAACTCCTGATTCCTCATGTCTGGTTTCTACGAACAAAATCCAACTTACTTGATTGAGTTGTCATGATTATATATATCTGCACCACCTGTACAAACATTAGTATCATGAAGTCAAATATTGCAATAATCTTTCCTTATGTGTTTATATTTACCTCGAGTTAAAAACTTACTGATTGTTTTTATTTGTGGTTCAACCTTCACTTTCCTTGATTACATCAGTGACTTCTGAATATATTAATGAATTAATACGCTCTAAAAAAGGCCACAGTCACTGTGCCATCTGGCTGCAGTATTGTGAAGCTAAATGCTAACGTCAACATGCCAACAATGCTGTTTATGTTTAGCAGGTATAATGTTTACCATGTGCAGCACTTAGTTAGTGTGTTAACATGCTAACAGTTGCTATACAGCACTCAACACAAAGTACAACTGAGGCTGAAGGGAATGTCGTTAGATTTAGTTATTCATACTTCACAAATTGCAATTTTGACCTGATGATGGCGCTTTATCAAAAGTAAAGGGATCACCAAAGTAATTCGAATTCATCTTTAGGGGAACATGAATGTGTGAACAAAATTTATAATCCTTCCAAAACTTGTTTTTTTACTCAAATCCACAAATGTCAACCTCATGGTGGCGCTAGAGGACAAGTCAGAGGATCACCAAAGTAATCACAGTACATCATCTGGGAACCATGAATGTCTGAACAAACTGATGGATCTTGATCAGAATGAACAGAAAATTCTATCCACTGAAAAGAAACGCATAGTTAGCATTTCATCTTTAATATAACAACTGCTTCAAGGCCATTGCATTTTATACATCACCAGACTAAAATAATCAATCTTTAATACTCGGACTTGTATTGAGATGCATGACCTCATGCAGTGGCCGCTTGACAACAACAACCCAGCTGTTCATCTTTATTTACTGATGATACATTTGAAGCAGCTGTGACCGTAGCAATACAAACAAAAGGAATAGAAATAGCCTGATACTTTAATATTTGATAAATATACTTCTCATAAATAAACCTACAATCATATATGTACACAGAAAAAGAGACACGCAATAGTCTAGATTAAATAAATACAACAAGTACAACGTTACACAGATCAGACGATCGTAATTACAATGAGATTATTATCCAATATTTACATTACACTGCGGTTGATGGTATGATTGTGCTTGATACACTGTACTCTATACATTTCCCATTTCCTGTTAAGAAAACACAGAACTCAATGGGAATGAGTGCAAGTAAATTAACGGCAACAGAATATTGTTTGATTTTTGTAAACAGAGTTAGAATAGACACAGTATTGAACATGCACCGCCAGAGCCCACATGTTTACTAACTGATGACAGATACGGTGTTTTGGATACGAGGGCAGCATTTTCAATTTTTCCTTTTTCAGCTTCTGAATCTGCCGCAGACGGCGGGCAACGTTGTTAAAAAACACACACACAAATTCAAAAAAATATCCATATCCAACCAAACACACTGACAGATGATGACGTAAACTGCAGATAAACCTGTTCGTTGATGGACCACATTTAAGACGCCTACTGTACAGTGCTACATGCAACTCAGAGCCCTAGAAGATGGCAAAACACATTCAACATATTTATACTGATTCATTTTTTCTTGCCATGTTAACTTAACAAACATCGAAGGTAAATTCCCTTAAATGTGATGAACAGCATCTACATGTAAAAATGTAAGACACTGCCTTCGATTAATGTCGGTTTTTACGCGTTTTAAATTTCTCTAAACGTATACAGTGATTGTCATTGAAAGGGAATTTTGAAGGCAAATCATACAGTAAGTAGCACCTGGTTGTACACCATTTCATTTTGTGGCTGTGTATCCAACTGTCTCTTTTTCATGTTAAAATACTTGTTTTCCCTAATTTTACCGTATGTTCTTCAAAATACTAAAAGTGTTTAAAAGCAAAAGTTCAGCATTATGGGGAAAAAATGGGTTTAGTTCTCGAGTGGAGAATGTTTACAGCCAGCAGCCAGTTAGCTTAGCTTAGCATAATGACTGGAAACAGCTAGCCTGGCTCTGTCCAAAGGTAACAATTTCAATTACAGCAAAAACGACACACGTGGTTTTATGGGTTAGGGCTTATAGGTTGTTGTCATTTGTTGCTACCCACCTGTTTCCACTCTCTGTGCTAAGCTAAGCTAACCAGCTCCTGGCTGTCATGTCATATTTTACAGTATCACTCTTCTCATCTAACTCTCTGCAAATAAGCTTATTTCCTAAAAGTCTAACTATTCTCAATTCAGTTCAGTGCGGTCAGGGATTTTGCGGCTTCTAGGTTTACTTGTTCTGATGTGAATAGTAGCTTATGGTAGCTAATGGTAGCTAATATTGGCAAACTTGAGTTAGACACTGCTGCATTTACACCTTTGATTTTCTTACTGTGACAAGTCAAAATGTCTTCTGTTAAAAAGACTGCTCAGCAAATGTCGCATGGACTCGCCTTAAGGCCTGATTCCTTTTTTTCAACCTGTTCTGCTCTTTTCTATACACGGAAATCACCTTTTTATTATTAATTTGCTTGGCTTGTAAATTCTTAAGGGCGCTGTCGCCCTGCAAGATGAGGTAGTACAGTATATTGGCAAAAATGCTCAGGTTTTAACGAGGGAAGACGTCGGGCATAACATAAGGTTGGATGACATGCATATAAAAATGGAAAGTTGGTGGAAAGAAAGAGGAACAAGAGCAATGAAAGCAAAAGCCAAAGGAAAAAAAGTAAAGAATGTTCAGCACTGACATGCAAATACCTAAAAAAAAACTTAGAATAATAATAAAGAAACACTACTTGTAAGTGAAAACAAACCTGTCCCATCAATTATTTTACAAAGAGCTCCTTCAGATTGACAGATGACAAACACCACCACACAGCTGGGATTTCTAATGCTGATTCACTGAACACGTACGAACCTCAGCTCGGTTCATGCCCCCATATCTGATACTACGTCTTGAGAAGCTGTTTACAGATGACCATGCAGTTAGTCTGACTTTTTTTTTAATCCATCACAACATATCGGATCTCTGGTTTCTGCTGTCCTGCCGTCCGTGTGGCTTCTCCTCCCTTCAGCCACATGTTGTATATACGTACAAACCTTACCAGGCACAGTTAAGACACCTTCCTCTGGTCGCTCCTGCAGTCTGGAAAGAAAACTGCAATGAACAAAGTCCACGAGACGGCTCGGAGACAAGAGAGCACAGCGGGCCCCCTCCTCCTCCTCCTCGCGTCTGCAGGAGCCTAATGAAAGTTACTGACGTGACACTTTACATCGTCCAAGCTCAAGACCGTTCCCTGGTCGTTGTTGTTGTTGTGCTTGTGCTTCTTATCGGAGCAGCGGCACAACTTGTACTTTATTACCTGAGAGGGGTAAAAAAACAGAGCGGGTCACCACGACAATCAGCAGTTTATGGCTCAACGAGGATGTAAAGTATCCACTGTGCAATTTGAAATGTTTCTAATTATTTGTGTTTTTCATATTTCCATTATATGTTTTGTAAGTTTTATTTCCCAAAATGAAGGTCTAAATACAAAGGCATTAAACTGTGGTGGGAGAAAACCTTTTGTTAATTTGATTGTTTATATTACGTCGGCCCACATCTATTAACATTTTAATATGAGTTTACAACTAGTGGAATCTGCTTATAAAATTGTGTACATTTTGGCTCCCTTAAGGTTGCTAAAACACCCACATTCCCAGAAAATAAATACAAACTGCATGACCTCAGTGTCCTCAATGGTCCATTAGCTACAACTTTATATCAGTAAATATTTACATGCAGGATTATTATTCTATCTAATCACTTTCCAGAGGAGGTCTCACCTCATAAAGGTAATCAAATATCTCCAGAATGGTGAGTATGCTTGCTCCAATAAAAAGTCCCATCTGACCACCGATATCACCTGGAATAACAAGAATTAAGCTGATTAAAAACATCATCGACCATAAAGACAGACAGAACGTCGACAGTACATAATAGAACTAATGTACCTAAAAGTCCAGCCACTTCATAAGCTTTCTTCTGTTCAATAGTTTCATAGTTGAGAGCCTCAAAAAAGATGTCTAAAACCAGAATATTCTCTCTGTGGAGAAAAGAAAGCAAGTCAAAACATTATAAGTCCAATTCAGGGGACACTATACTCTGAGTCAAACTGTTCAGCATTCATAGGCGTTTAATTAATAGCTTATAACACACTATAATGTAGTTGTACGCAGATATGAATGTGTATTAACGTATTTGTCAACACCTATAACACCTCCTGTGGGCAGCCATAAGAGGAGGCTGGTGAGTAAACATAATGAATGACAAAATAGTAAAATATGTCTTCAAATGAGGAGTTGTTGACAAAATATCCTCGTATATACTTATTACTACATTCTAGTGAAACCATTTATTAAATATCTATATACTGCGTAGAGTAAAGTATTACCCCATTTTTAATTTGCTATTTATCTAGTTTTCCTCTTTGTTTTCCTTTTCAGTGCATTGTTTGCATTTGACAAAAATGCAGATTGACGCTTACTTAATATACTGCTCAGATTTGTTGTATTTCTTTGCCAGATATTTAGCGGAGGCCTTGCTGGGGATCTTGACGAAGGACAGCTCTTTGCTGTATCTGGTCATGTTGCACGGCGTCTCACACACACAGAAATCATTGTCTCTCTCCACCAGGAAGTCTGTGGAGAACAAAACCAGAGCTCTGTTTGACCTTTGGAACAGATCAATGGTGCTGTGACTTTGAAATGTCACGGGATGGTGTGTGTGTGTGTGTGTGTGTGTTTTGTGTCAGTTTAAAGATTCAGACCAGACAAGGACGAAGCCTTTTTTCTTACCAAGAGCTGGGTCAGCACATTCTTTGTACAGCTCGGGGGTGCAGTAGGGAGCATCGCCTGCAGTCAAAGCGACACACACACTCACAGTAAAGTAATTTTTCACTTATATCATTAAAGTAACTCTAATGCAACACACAGTAATAAGTAAGAGGATCCCTACCGGGCATGTGCACCATGCGACAGTTGCAGTTGTCCACCAGGTAGCGAGTTTCGCAGTCGATGCGACAGGCTGTGATGCTGTAACTGTCAAAGAAGTCTGAATCCATCGCCGTCACCTTACAGTCTCCCCAAGGAGGAGGAAGATATATCAGCTGCAACGAACACACGTCACTTATTATACAAAAGCAGTATTCACACTTATGCATACTATTAATGCCACTTTTAGTTAGTATATACTGTAGAAAGTCAAATACAATGTATAGTGTTGTTTTGAAATGAAAATGTAGGTGAATAAAAGTAAATTAAAACAAATAAAGAACAAAACAAAATCAAAAAGAGGATGCTTCCAGTTATAACAGAATGCAAATAGAGGAATAAAACAGCTAAATCAAATGTAATTTTATTCTATATCTGTGTAAATACAGTAAAGTGATGTAGATTAAAATGACTTTAAAGGATATTCTGGTGTATCACAACTTAAATAGTTTTTTGCATTTTATTCCTGTCAGTAATAATACAATTGTATTCACCAAAACAAAGCAATATGGCGAAAAAAAGACGAGCAATAGCTCAAGAAACACCAGCAGTCAGGTGATCATGCAGGTTTTAGATAAACCTGTTAAACATTTGTATAAAGATGATCAAAGAGGAACGGATTGTACCCTCTGCTCCTGACAGGAAACAAACGTCTGAAAGCCGGGTGCCACGCCAAAGCCGAGCTGGTCAATGAAGGACGGCTCGTCCTGACTGTGGATCTGAACTTTGACGCCGGCTTCAAATGAAGTCTCATCTGCAGAAATTCAAAGAATGATGAATCAGAGCAACACGCCGTGAAAATGTGTTTCACCAATGAATCCAGAGATTTGTCTCTGAGTGGCAGTGGTGGAATGTACCTACATTTACTCAACTAGTGTACTAAAGTACAACATTCAGGTTATTGTACTCTACTTGAGTATTTCCATTTAATGCAACATTACACTTTAAACTACATCTCAGAGGAAAATCTTTCTTTTTAGATTTTCAGTATCTCCAGATTTGTTGATTTTGAATTTGAATGTTAAAAACAGATGGTTTTAAATGTTTCTTTATGGGTTGAGGAAATTCTCCTACTTCATAAGATAAACACTTTTTAAAAACCTTATTGCGTCAGCTGAAAAATGCACCGTCACAAAACTGAAAACAAAGGCTGTTTCTCTGGGCTCGTGAAAAGTTGACTTTTTAGAAACGTGGTTCTAACAGGACAGCGACGCTACAAACATATGATCTTATAGAATATGATGCATTGCTGTAGATTAAACTAGCCAACAGTATATGAGTTAAAACCAGCACAACCTTAAACGTCTAGAGCAGCAAAATGCAACATAAACATGAATGCAGCAGTAATATGAATCATATATAATAGTAAAACACTGACTGGGAACGTTTTACTGCACAATGAGTACTTTTACTTTTGTTATTTAAGTACATTGAGCTGAATACTTACAACGTTTAACTTAAGAAAGGTTGTGAATGCAGTGCTTTTACTTGTAGTGGTGTACTTTCACTCATCTGAATACTTCTTCTACCACTGCAGAGTCTCACTCCCTGCGGTGCTGAGGACCGCCCACGCACACACTGTGGACACCTCACCTGTTTCTCCCCAGATAGGCAGGTATTCATCCTGCTGAATGTCCAGCATGACCTCCAGTCCGTTACCCATACCTCCCTTGGTGGTGAAGAGAGCAGGGCGTCCATCACCGCCGGCGTTAAAGGTGTAACACTTCCCGTAGCGAGTGAAGACCTGAGAGACACATAAGAGAGATTTGGTGTTTTTTTTGACATTAGCTCTGCAAAACTTCAAAAGGTTTCCCACCAATGCTTTCCCACTGGGGGGCAGTGTTTGGCTCTATTTCTGTTATGGGTGTGTGAACATGTGTGTGTGCGGAGACGACGGAGATAAGGAGGAAGAGAAGGAGGTGAGGAATGAAAGAGCGGATGAGTAAAGGAGAGAGATTAGAGGGAAGTGATTAAAGGAAGTCCTCCTGAGAGGTTTGTGGGTTACACAATCAAACCAGTGAGGTGATGTAGACGAGCAGACTGGGGAATTAATGTTCCCTCGCAAGCTCTTTATGGCACTTTATAATGAACCTGATGTTACCATGGAGACCAAGCATCCCAGCCAGTGAGAGTGCAGCCTTCATTTTTGAGGAAAGCCGAGATGTTAGATCGAAAGCTGCGTGTGAGATATCAGCGGAAAGCCCACATGACATCTTTTAAACAGCCCACGCGTGCACGGCAGTAAATAAACGGATGAATACTGAGCTTTGGCAAAGAGTTAATGTCGCACTAGAGCGTTTAGTGTAGTATGAGTCACATAATCCACTAGGGAGAATCAGGGAGAGAGTGGGAGAGTAGGGAGCAACGGAGAGCAGGGACGTAAAGCGAAAGAGACAGAAAGAGAGAGAGGGGGGGAGTTTAGCTGCTAACGCTCGGAGCAGGCTATTGTTCAGCGTTATGGCACAGAATGACATATCTAGGATTAGAAAGAACAAGCCAACCAAGTAATTGTTGAGAAAGGGTTTGGGTCCTGCCACGGGCAACGTTAACATTCCAGCCATCTATCATGTAGTCAGTTAGAGACAGCTGGTTGTAAAAGCAAGACATCAACCCGAGGGAAATGCACGGCAAGCAACAAATAATAGTGCGCACACATTTGCACTCATACTGACAGACCTGCAGGTGTTTGTCAGAGTGTTTCTTTGAGAGGGACTACAGCTATACGCCACAAGTTTGCAAGGTTAAACCTCCATCTTTCCGATGTCGGTGTCGGGGGATGTGTCCGAACATTGATGTGACTTTAAAAAGCCGACAACCCAACAAACGCACCCACTTCACACTGTGATTGGCCTGCTGTGTGGAGGTGAGAAAGGGTTTGAACTGCCCTGACGAGCTCCGTTTTTTCATTTGTTATTCAACCATTTATTCAATTTCTTTCATCTGAGCAATCAAGTTGCAGCTTGATCTCCCTCCAGGAGAGTAAAAGTACTCATGGTAACCCACAATTTAGACGACATCGCGCCTCCCTCCTCTCTTATGATGTCCATTTTTACACTCTGCCTTTCAAACAAACTATAAACAATTTTTTACTTTGTACGAACAAGTTCTGTTCGAGCACAGTGGTGCTTTAGCTAAATGCTAACATCAGTGTGCTAACGTCCCCACAACACTAACATGCTAATGTTTAGGTGTAATGTTCACCAAGATCACCATCTTAGGTTAGCATGCTAACATTTGTAGTATTAAATGCAAAGTACAGCTAAAGCTATTTGGTCAGAGACTTGAGTGTTGGAGAAATGCAAATGTTGACCTGATGCTGCAGCGAGACAGAAAGTCAGGATCATCAAAGTCATTAGGATTCATCCTCTGTGGGCCGGGGATTTCTGTACAAAATTTCTTGGCAATCCATTTTATAGTTAGTAACATATTTTAGTCTGGACAGACTGACGTTGTCATCCAGTTAAGCAGCTAGCATGGCTAACAATCATCCGGTAAACAGAGCCTCATTTAAACTATATACTCGTTCTCTTCTCATCTTCTTTCATCAACCTGCTGCCGGTGGCCTTCACTGCACATTCATTCACACGTATTGATCTGTGAATCCTGCTGGCTCGTGAGACATCTGTAAGAACTAACCCAGCTATCAGAGAGGCTCTTCCCTTTCTGCACAAATGAAAGCATAAATGTGTCAGATCACACAGCGGCTGCACTTGCTGTGCTTCATAAATAAATAAATCATTACATAAATGTAAAAACCCTGTGTATGACGGGAGCATGATGTTCGCCGGCATCTTGATTGATACGCTGAAGTGAGGCGATGTCGGCTAACAGTTGTAACCTGCCTCTTGTTGAATAGTTGATGTGACAGAGGTGGTGAGAATGAAAACATTAAACATGTATAATGCACAAAGTCTGCACAGAATGCATACGGCTTGTTCTGCTTGTTATGAGGAATTAATAAATGATTGTGCACATATGAAAAAGGTTTTCTGCAGCAGAAATCATAAGAAACACGAAGGACGATAGGTGACAAAGAGAAATTCTGATTTCTGAAAGTTCAGTTTACTTGTTAATTGTGACCTGTGTATGCTTTTATCACTCTTTTGCTGTTAAGGTACTTCAGAAAATCAATCCTCTTTTTCCACAGAATTGAATACATTACCTACTGACTGCGGTTTAAACAGGGTATAATATTCAGAGCTCTGTGATCAATAAAGTTGTCACTCAGACACAATTTCCCACGTATTGAAAAGCACTCAACAGAGCTCTGCTGTAATGAATCATTATGCACATGATTATACATATCTGTTTTTAAAGCCACATCAGGTTTTGAAAGAATCCCTGAACCACAAATCCATGCACTTTCTCATCCATTTAGCGAAGTCTTGCAATCTGTGAGCTGCTAAGAGTTGTCTCAGCCGGGTAAACAATCCATTAGCGTTCTGTTGTTTCACGGGGACGTTTTCAAAGATTTTAAAACCGTCTCCGTTAAGTGCCAACACTTTCACTGTTATTATGCCTTATGCTGAAATTGCTATCTCTGGGAAAATGCTATTTAAATGCAACAGCGAGCAGCCAGAGGCCCACGATGACCGGCACTAAAACACATCCACATTTCTTTGCATCTTATTGTGTGCAGCTTGTGTAATTTCCGACTCTTTATCCGACTGGGATTTCAGATGACCTGGAAAAACTCGTTGCCTTCATACATGAATAAACTTTATGGAAATAAATGAAGGGATTAATATTTATAAGACTAACGGTGTACGGCCATGCCAGCAGCTCTGTGAGGCTTTATTAGGAAAAGATAAACATGAGCATGCTAAAATGCTCACAATCACAACGCTAATATGGTGATTTCTTAACAAGGATACTGTTTACCATGGTCACCATCTTAGCTTAGCGTGTTAGCAGGCTAGTACTGATAATGATCACTAAACACAAGTACAGCAGAGGCTATTAAATGTCTAGTTCTGCAGGTATTTGATCATGAACTTAAAATATTTATCTGATGATGGCACAAAATACATTTCTCAAGTTCTAACCTTCTGTCTATTTGTTGATTATTCATTAATCTCTTGTTACATGTTAAACAAGTGCGTTTTTTCAAGTATTTTTTCTGTATCAAAATCTCTTTTTTCTTTAAACCCTAAAACTATTTTTGATGGCTCATCTTGAACTCGGGGTGGTTAGGTACATTTCTCAGATCAAAGGTGATTTAGGGTGACAAGCAAAACCCCATCCGTCATTTAAAACCTGGAGCAATATTATACTGTGTTTGGATTTCCGCTCACAAAAACTTTTGTTTACATTTCAAAAGAATGTGGTTGAGGTTTTATGTATTCAGTTCAACCCTCCTCCTCCTCCTCTTGATCTAACGTGTGCCGTATTCCCATTTTCAATATCTGTACCAAATGTCATGGCAATTCATCCGATAGAGTAAAAGTAGGGCTGGACAAAATTTCAATATGACCATTTATTGTCTTTCAAAGGAATGATATCGTGTTGAAATCATATATCGAGAGATCATAATACACAAGTAAGTTGTCTTAATTGATAATAACAATCACATAGTTATTGAAATTTCTCAGAAAATCTGATCACTTTGCACTAAAGTTCTTAATTCAATGAGAGAATACTCAGGACTTCATGATACCGATGACTAATTACAGTTTACACTCTTTGCGATGGGTGATCTTGGCGTCAGATCACTACCGTTTGTCAGGAATAAAAGCATCATGAGCCAAATCCCCCCCCCCCCCCTTTGTTTGATTCTAAAACGAATAGCTGACTCACCACGCTAAAGAACAAAGAGCCTCTCCACAGAGTAAATAAACTACAGGCAGGGGATTGAAAGCCTGAGGTACAGAGGAGTTTGTATGTGTGTAATAATGATGCCCTGAACACGGAATCAGACCCTGAGTCACTCATCACTGATGGTCAAAATAAAGAAGTCAAGAGTAGAGTTAAAATAGAATAGGTAGAAGAGAACCGCAGGGCTCCTCTGGGAGTATGGATAACTAAAAGGCTTCACGCAAAAAACCCTTCTCTTAAATAGAGAGAGCAGACCAAAGGCCATTCTCTACTGACAAAACACTACAGAGATAACAGCTGCATGAATATCTGACATTTTTATGCCAGTTGTTTCAAAATGGTCACAGAATTGAAAACCTATAAGTGAATGTTTAGTATCTATATTTCAAAAGCATTTCAAGCCTCATTTGTGGCGTAGCTCCAAGGTTGGATGTCAGTCTGTTGAATGGATGACGCTCAGTGACTTTGTCCCCTGAATTTTCTTCTCGAACCACTATGAGTTTTACATTTTTGTTCTTTTTATTAAAATGTCGCAACAACTATTGGATTGATTGCCGTGAAATTTGGCACAGACATTCATGTTCCCCTCAGGATGACTTGTAATAACCTTGGTGACTCCTAAACTTTTTATCTATTTCTTGAGATGTTTAAATCATTAAATTAAATCACAAATGTCAACATGGTGTTGCCATTGGAAATGACAAAGGAGCAACAAAGTAAGTCGCAGTTATCCTCTGGTGACCATGAATGTCTGTAAAAAATTGCATGGCATGACCATCTGAATAGCAACACCGCTAGTTGACTAAAAAAGCAAGGAAAAGCTTTTAGCAAAACCAACTTAATAGTGTATTTGTTGGGGATTGTTTTCAAGAATTTGCTTTATTAGGCTTTTGTCTACACAGCCAATTTATCTGTAACTGTAAAGAGGCT